TAACAGAGGAGTTTTCGTTAAAGGGAGGTCCGTTTTCATTGAAAAATTGGGAAAATGAGTTGGTACATTTAATCTTTTTCATTATAAGGAGGTTTTAGTTAAAGAGAAGTTCCGTTATCAGAGGTTCCACTGTATTCATATTAAAAAGCAGTAAATATATATATACAAAGCATTTATATATATATATGAATATATCAAGCATGGATTACTAATGTTTGTACATGTTTGATGGAGTCTGTTGTTAACAGCCCTCTCTATAATGCTGCAAATGCTACTAGATATGTTTTATTGTAGAGAGAAAGGAGAATTATTAGTGTTACCATTAACGCGGATTATACATATATCATTATTATTTTGCCATGGATTATTTATTTCTATTTTATTAGATGACAACAAAGTGAAAGTAAAATAAAGGAGAGATGAGGTGGAATGAGATTTAAGAAGTGAATGAATAATAGTCTTAAAAGGCAAATTATATGTAAGCTGTATTAATGTGGTGCATTTATGTATGAAGTAAATATGTTCTCAGTAAATATTGGCAGCTATTTAGAGCTATATGTTTGTATATAATTTGATTTGAAAGTAATTACTGATATGCTTTCATACAAGCCAAAAAGATCGTTGATCATTTGTAGTTTTAGTCCATGATGTGGATATTGAGTCCTGTTTTGGCTCTTGTGTGTAAGTGAAATACCCTGAACTAATGTGCAAAAAGCCAAGAACTATGTTGCTCTAAACTAGTAGCGTAGCATTATTAGTTACATAGTCCTTTGTTATTGTTAGATCATTTGTTTTTTAGAAACAAGTGAATATTTTGTTTTCCTTTTCATAATTATTTTGTCAGCTACGTTTGCTTTTAAATTTTGTGGTTGCATTTTTAATAATGATGCCAAACAGATGGATGATCACGCGAATGAAAAAAGGTGTTTATTTTAGAAAATTAAGGTGGCCATCCACTATGCAACTTTGTTGTCGGTACCGTCCTTTGATGTGGTTGTGCAACATGTTGGATGAAGTTGAGAGTCTCTCTACTTCATGTAACATGTTGAACAACCACATCAAAGGTTTAACCACAAGTTCTAAGCAACAATGCTGCATAGTGGATGCCCACCTTTAGTTCAACCTTCAAGTGGGAAAGGATAACAGTGAAACATCAAAGGTTTAACCACAAGTTCTAAGCAACAATGCTGCATAGTGGATGCCCACCTTTAGTTCAACCTTCAAGTGGGAAAGGATAACAGTGAAATTAAATGATACCATCACTGTAAGACTTATTATCATTGTCCCCATCGAGCTTTTGTGAAAGTGCTTGAAATTTAGTTTTCATGAACAACTCAGTCTCAGTTAAAAAATTAATCTACTATGTGGTAACTAGTAAATTCATTATTAATCTTGTGGTTTTGTGTGTTTAAAGGCCTCCATAGGCAACATGTTGCTTGCAACATTTGTGGTTACTTTGATCTTGTATAAGCAACATGTTGCACAGTGTATGGAGGCCTTAGTTATGCTTATATAGGATATGCACACACATGTTCTTTTGATCTGTTCTGTCTTTGTTCTATTTTCCTTCTTCATCTGGGTCTATGTGCAGTGTGTTGGTGTCTCATTTATCTCTTTTTACCAAGTTGTGTCAAGTTGTTAGTTTAAGTGATTATCACTTCTGTTTCTTAATTAAGATTCTAACAATACTACATAGATCTACTGACATTGAAATTAAATGCCAGGCTATTTTAAAGTTCACATCAAGTAAGTTGTCATCCTTAAACCTTTTCAATTGTTTTCTTGTAATATAAATTTTTGCTGTTTTTATTTCATTTTTTTTCTAAAATTTGCCCATTTTTCCCCTGAATTTTGACACGTACATGTAACTCGAAATATTTGGTGATGGGAATTAGCTTAAGTATTTTACACAGCATGAGAATACAATGTGCATGTGCATGTATTTACATGTAATTAAATACTGTATAGCATGAAATTTTAGAGGGAGTTAAATTTGGCAAATTTGGCGTTTTGATTACCATTTTTCAAAATAAAACTCACCATTTTCAGCCATTATATGCATGCTCAATGGCAAGTGGCCACTAATTTGTGAAATTAAATTTGCCAATCACCAAATTTAACTCCCTCCAAAATTTCCTGCTGTACAGTACATGTATAAGTAATGAAATTAGTAATTAATATTCTGGATTTTATTTCACAAAATATTAAATTCAATTACACTGTCTCTTTCAGAGGTTCCCTGTCATGGACTGGTGATATATTATGTAGTGGGTCAATATTACAGTGGGACCCACGTCTACCAGGACACTATTAGACCACACCCACGATTGAAGTCTGTGGGACTCACTGGTCACCAAATCATCAGCAACTCGTGTTAGGAGGAAATGATAATAATTATAGTGAGTTTATGATTTTATTAATTTTATTTATTTTACATTGGCTTCATTATCACTTCCATTTTTACATTGATGTCCTAAGGCTAGCTATGTTCATGTAGAAAAAAGTTTTTCAAGTTATGGCCATTTTAAGAAACAATTTTTGAAAAATACCCTGTATTATAAATATAGCTTATGCTTTTTTCAAAAGGACCCTCATTTTTAAAAACATTTTCTGATAGATATTGATGTCCTTATGCTATGTAGAAAGTTTGAACTGATTCTGACTATAATTTTTGAGTTATGGCCATTTTAAAAAATGAGCCAATTTTGAACAATATCCTGCTCATGGTTTTTTCAAAAATGGGTCCAATTTTTAATTACATTTTCCGATATAATATTGATGTCCTTATGCTACATGTATGTAGAAAGTTTGAACTGATTCCAATAAATAATTATTGAGTTATGAGAAACGCCAATTTTTTGCCTACTACATTCATTTGTGTATATCCATTAGCAAAGTAAATTGTACATTAATATAGAATCAATTAACTATTTGTTGGTATAGTACAGTTAGTATAGATTAATGGGGCTTTATTTTTGGTCCATTTAGTATTTTGTAATTTGACCATAAGATGATAATTAATGTATGAAGTTGAAGTTTAAACCATAGCCTATACCACTAAATTGAAAAAGTTACCTTAAAGTTGCTTTCAGCAGTACATGTAGTAGTGGGCAGCTTTGATATCTGATATCCTTGTATGAAAATATTTTAAAATTATTGGGAAATTTTTAAAATAATTCATAATTTGTTTCTAAGAAAGCTAATAATTGTCAATATCCTTCTGTAATTTTATTTCTTAGAAAGCATCGATCTACATGCATAATAGCAAATTTCTGAAATATTTAGGCTGGTCGATGGTATCAATCAGTAAATATGTAGAGCTACGCATATTTACCAGTATGCTTTTAATACAAATCAAATCGATCAATGATTCCTTGTAGTCCAAGATATGGAGAATGAGATGATGATTATTGAGGATGAGTCCTGCTCCTGGTAAAATTAATACAATATTAATTGTACCTTGAACTAACATGAAGCCTGCAAAAAGCCAAGAACATAGTACAGCGCATTTCATCAAGAGTGGTTAAGAGAGAATTCTCCATTTTATTACATTTTTTGATGCATATACAATTTTATGCTGTGCATGTAGTTTTGTAAAGTTACATACAAACTAGTCTAGTTGCATGTATATATTTATGAAGTGACTGTGTCTAACTATTTTTAAAAGACTAAGTCAAGAAGTAAGTTAAAAATTCTTTATGTGCAGCTTAATTCCAAGCTACTTTGCACAATCATTGACACTGTTGAAATTTCATTACCATTCTTACCCAAGTCATACTAGAATTTATACAGCAATTGTGTTTGTATAGTGTTTTATTTATGCTGATTTTGTGCTCTTGCTTTAAGTCTAACACAAATCCTGAATATGAAATTCTTAGAAATTATATTGTTGTGGCAACAACCATTCAAGAAGAAAACCTAAAAATCTACTTCCTGAAGTTCCTGTGTTAGCGTTAATGCTTCCTGCCATGGCTTCTATTTAAACTCATTTAGTTTTGTTTTCTTCAGATCTCCAGCTCACTCTCATCTCCTTCTTTTTTATTTTTTTCTTACTTTATAGGCTGCAGCTAATATCATAAGATGATTTCTGGTTTTTCCACTATTGCTGCTGCAGTTGTCATTCTATTGTGCATCACTGCTCAATGCACAGCTCAAGATACTGACTGCTCTGCTCTGGCCACTAATGGTGACTGCAGTTTCTATGATTGCTTGAGTGCTAGATTCCGTTGCAACAGCAAGGACTATCCTCTTCGCCGTGGTAAAACTGACTGTCAGAAATACACTGATGAATCAAGTTGCTTCACAAAATCAGTAAGTACACTGATTGCATTGATGTGTGCCCTACAACCTACTATATTATAGTATTCAATTTTGTTGAAAGCAACCTAGGGGTTAGTTGATGTACTCTCAAATAGAATTTTATGTATCAGAGTTGTTGCTAGTAGATAACGTTGGAGACAACTATAGATATAGTAGTGGGCAGCTTTGATAACTTGTTGTGTAAATTGATCTCCAATAACCTAAATTTTGATGGTAAAATCCTTAATTGTCTTTGCTGCATGTCATTTAAAGAAAACTATTTTGTAGTAATTGGATATCCTTTTATAAATATTTTTAAGAAAGCAATCTAGCAATCTGTAATGATGAAATTTTTATATATTTTATATGGGCAATTATGGAAAAATGCATAGTTGCATAGCTCAATGAAATAATTTGCATGTACATGTACATGTAAATGAACAACATACATGTACATTTCATAATAGAGCTGTAAATCAACATAATATGTGATTGTGTATGCTTCTACCAAAGCAGCAAAAAATTTTAATAATACAATATTATCTTAGGGTCAAGCATGGCTTTCTAGAGTTCGTAGATGTTTGATGCAGTCTATTGTTAGCAGTGCTGTCTATAATAATGAAAGTGCTACTTGTGACGATTTGAAAGATTTTGCAATTGGAAGTCGTCCTAAATGTTACGTTGATAATGGGTTCTGTACAAGTATATTTTTATCACCTCAATGTCAGAACCTTAATTGTATTCAAAATAGAATTTATCCTGATAATAAAAGGTATAGTACACAGTCGAGAGCTCAGGTAAGAGAGTATTAGTTATAGGTATTATTATTATTATTATCATTATTATTATTTTACTTTTATAGATTATAAAGACAACTGAGTCTTGCCCTTCCCAGATATCTACATTCCTTACTGATGCTCAGCAGCAGTGCAGTTTGGATAGTCCAGACAGTGCTCTTCCAGCCGTTATACATGATCATTTAGGTACGTACTTCAATACTATAGAGTATGCTATTCTTCTATTTGTACAGATTGTACTGCAAGGGCTTTCGATTTCATGATCTTATTGGATGCATCTGGAAGTGTTGGGGCTGATAACTTTGAGATAATGAAAAACTTTGTTGCAAACATGCTGTCTAACTTTACCATTGGACCAGATGACACTCGTGTTGGAGTCATTAGTTTTGCTAGCAGTCCATCTATTGTTATCTCATTGGGTTCCATTAATACTTATTCACAATTGGCTACTGCTATTAGAGCTATATCATACACTTCAGGAGGAACAAACACTGCTGCAGCATTGGATTTACTAAGCACAGCATTTGCTACTGCTCGTGTTAGTGAAGGTATCCCTCGTGTAGCTGCTGTTTTTACTGATGGAATGTCTAATGACGCTGCAGCAACAGTACAATCTGCGCAAGCTGTCCATAATGACAAGATTACTGTTTTCTCTTTTGGTATTGGAAGTGGTGTCAGTAATGCTGAATTAGTTGCCATTGCTTCAGATGGTCAACAAGGTGTTTTTACTATCAGTGGTTTTTCATCTAATACTTTTCAGGCTGTATTGACACAACTACAGCTATCAACATGTTTAAGTAAGTCTTTTTTAATGATGTAAATTTTTACTAAATCAATTTATAGCCCCAACATCAACTGAGAACGGAATGGAGATTGCTACTACCCTTCCAAAAGGATCATCTCGTTTGTTACAGTATGGGTTTCCACCAATGGGAATGACACTAAAAGTTGATGTTACAGTGGGAAATTTGGCAGTTCGTGGATCATTTAGTGTCCAAAATCCAAATGAGCTCACACAAGATTTCTCTGTCATGAGCAATGGAAATGATATCGATTATTTCATTAGTCCAGAGTTATATGTACAGTCAACTACTGATGATGACAATGGTGGAAGTCGCAGAAAGAGACAGACATCAATACCCACTAATATCACTAATGCTAATGTGTACTTGTCTATTGTTGGATTGAATGATAACAATACATTTGTATTGAATACTACTTTTGGTGATACTACTGAGTACATTCCAACAAGCACTGGTAAGGGAATATATAACTGATACTTAACTTGATGTGTTTTTTACTTTAGGTACCAGTGTTCTGGGCTCAATGATACTTATAATGGCTGCTTTGCTCTGTTTCCTCCTCTTTATATAAATATGGGAAGCTTGTCTTTGACTTTTTTATTAGTAGCATAGCATTTTTAATATGCTTCTTTTTTTATTGTTAGATCCATATGCTGCATTGTTTTTTTTAAAGTGAACATTTGATTTTATTAGCAATTTTTTCCTGTTAATTTTTTGTGATAACATTTTTTCAATAATGATGCCAGATAGCCTGACAGTTAATCAAGCAAATGCAAGATTTGGTTTTCATTATGAGATACATTAGTTTAATATAGCCCATGCTTTTTCAAAAAATGGCTCCAAAATCACCCCCCCCCCCCAATTTTTATTACATTTTTAAATGTCCTTATGCTATATGGTAGGAAGTTTAAGCTGGTGATGACTATCATATTTTTGAGTTATGGCCATTTTAAAAATGAGCCAATTTTTAAGAAATATCCTTTACTATAGCTCATGCTTCTTTTTATAAAAAATGGCTCCAAAATCACTTCCATTTTTGTTACATTTTTTGATGCATATTGATGTTTTTATGTTACAACTGCATGTTGAAAGTTTGAGCTGATTCCGACAAAATAGTTTTAAAGTTATGAGCATTTAAAAAAAAAACAATTTTTGCCTGCTAGTGTACAGCAATTAGCAGAGCACATTACTATAATAATCAATTAACTGTTTGTTTTACAGTACAGTAAGTATAGATTAATGGGACTTTATTTTTGGTGCATTTAGTACTTTGTAATTTCATCATAAGGTAATGACTACTAATGTATGAAGTATGATCCATAGCCTATGCCACTGAATCCTTAAAGTTGTTCTCAGCAATTAGTAGTGAGCAGCTTTGATATCTGATATTCTTGTATGTAAATATTTCTAAATTATATGCCGGAAATTTTTTGAATAATTCATAATCCTCATTACAGTATTTCTAAGAAAGCTAATAATTGACAACATCCCATTGTCTCAGAAAGTAATCTATGATACCAAAATTTTAAAATAGTTTTGGCCATTATAACAAACAATATAATGCGTTTGCATTGTAGATATGCTTTTGTAGTTAAACTGTGGATCAAAACATTGTAATTGTGTATTCATAGAACCAGTAAATACAGCGCATTTATATATGAATATATCAAGCATGGATTACTAATGTTTGTAGATGTTTGATAGAGTTTGTTGTTAACAACCCTCTCTATAATGCTGCAAATGCTACTTGTGGACATGTTCTATTGTAGAGAAAAAGGAGATTTTTTGTTACCATTAGCGATTATACATAATCATTATTATTTTGCCATGGATTATTTATTTCTATTTTATTAAATGACAACAAAGTGAAAGCAAAAAATAGGAGAGATAGAGTGGAATGATATATAAGAAGTAAACGAATAATAGTCTAAAAAAGGCAAATTATATGTAAGCTGTAATTAATGCAGTGCATTTATGTATAAAGTAAATATGTTCTCAGTAAGTATTGGCAGCTTTATAGAGTTATGTTTGCATATAATTTGATTTGAAAGTTATTACTGGTATTCTTTCATACAAGCCAATTAGATCGTTGATCATTTGTAGTTTTAGTCCATGATGTGGATATTGAGTCCTTTTTTGGCTCTTGTGTGTAAGTGAAATACCCTGAACTAATGTGAAGCCTGCAAAAAGCCAAAAACTATATTGCTCTAAACTAGTAGCGTAGCATTATTAGTTACATAGTCCTTTGTTATTGTTAGATCATTTTTTTTTTAGAAACAAGTGAATATTTTGTTTTCCTTTTCATAATTATTTTGTCAGCTACATTTGCTTTTAAATTTTGTGGTTACATTTTTAATAATGATGCCAAACAGACCAATGATTATGTGAATGAAAAAAGGTGTTTATTTTGTTGCCAGTACCTTTGATGTGGTTGTGCAATATGTTGGATGAAGTTGAGAGCCTCTCTACTTCTTGAACAACCACATCAAAGGTTTAACCACAAGTTCCAAGCAACAATGCTGCATAGTGGATGCCCACCTTTAGTTCAACCTTCAAGTGGGAAAGGCTAACAGTGAGATTAAATGATACCATCACTGTAAGACTTATTATCATTGTCCCCATCAAGCTACACATGCTTTTGTGAAAGTTCTTGCAAATTTAGTTATCATGAACAACTCAGTCTCAGATAAAAAATTAATCTACTGTGTGGTAACTAGTAAATTCATTATTAATCTTGTGGTTTTGTGTGTTTCAAGGCCTCCATAGTCCATACACTGGGCAACATGTTACTTGCAACATTTGTGGTTACTTTGATCTTGTAAGCAACATGTTGCACAGTGTATGGAGGCCTTAGTTATGTAACAGTGTGGTTATGTACTTATATATGATATGCACACACGTGTTCTTTTGATCTGTTCTGGGCTGTCTTTTGTTCTATTGTCCTTCTTCATCTGGGTCTATGTGCAGTGTGTTGGTCTCTCATTTATCTCTTTTTACCGAGTTGTGTTGTTAGTTTAAGTGATTATCACTTCTGTTTCTTAAACTAAGATTCTACAATACTATAGATCTACATACTGACATTGAAATTGAATGCCAGGCTATTTTTGAAATTCACATCAAGTAAGCTGTTATCCTTAAACCTTTTCAATTGTTTTCTCTTGCTGACAGTAAAAGGTATAGATACCTATAGTCTATCATTTTCTATCCATGCCAGCATTTATACTCCTATTTTTATTTGAACCTTCAGCATGTTTTTTTTTACTTCCATATATTAATGTGCAATATATATTACAACAAATACTAAACAGGTCTATATACAATGATATAAACCCCATCACATCAAAGGAATGGTGAGCCTGCTATCTAATTTACTACATGAAATGCAGTGTGATGCTTCCTGTCAGGACTTCTATTTAAACTCGGTTCATTCAATTTTATTCCTTTGTTTAGAGTCTCAGCTCATCATCATCATCTCACCTCATCTCAACTTTCTTTCAATTCAGTTTTCCTCAAGGTTGCATCATAAAGGGATGCTTTCAACTGTTGCTACTGCAGTTTTTTTCTTGTGCCTCACTGCTCATCAATGCACAGCTCAAAGTCCTAACTGTGCACCTCTAGCAAATTCTGGTGGTTGCAGTTTCTATGATTGCTTGAGTACCAAATTCCAGTGCACTGCTAATGATTATCCTCTTGCTTATGGCAAAAAGTATTGTCTGAGGTATGCCAGCAGATCAAGTTGCTTCACAACAGGAGTAAGTGCACAGTTTATTGCTTATACCTCATTTAATTCATCTATTATTATTACATCCAACTATTTCCAATTGCATACCCTATATGGGCAATGCATGGGCACTTTTGTTTTAGCCAATTGCTCCCTGTCATCAATCTTGATTGCCAAAATCCACTTTGATATAGGGCCAAGCATGGATTACTAGTGTCCGCAGATGTTTAATGCAGTCTATTGTTAACAGTCCTCTCTATAATGATGCAAATACTACTTGTGACCAGTTGAAGACATTTGCATTTCAAAGTCATTCTAATTGTCACACTAGCCATGGGTTCTGTACAAATATATTTCTATCAAATCAATGTCAGAACCTTGTTTGTATTGGAAATGAAGTATGTACTGATAGAGACTATTGGAGCAAGCATGCAATAGACCAGGTGAGGGAGTATTAGCCTGAGTCTATTATTATTTTTTTACAGATTATAAAAACAACTGCTTCATGCCCTTCCCAGATTTCTACATTCCTTCTTGATGCACAGAGTTGTAATTTGAATAGTCCCAACCATGCTCTTGTATCTGCTATACACAACTATTTAGGTAGATCTATCTATTATAGTATTTTGTAAATATACTATGGTACTCTTGTACAGATTGCAATTCAAGGGCTTTTGATTTTGTCATCATATTGGATGCATCTGGAAGCGTTGGGTATTATAACTTTGAAATAATGAAAAACTTTGTTGCAAACATGCTGTCTAGCTTTACTATTGGACAAAATGGCACTCGTGTTGGAGTCATTCGTTATGCAAGCAGTCCATCAATTGTTATCTCACTGGGTTCCTTCAATACTTATTCACAATTAGCTACTGCTGTTAGAGGTATATCATACACCAGAGGAAGAACAAACACTGCTGCAGCTTTGAATTTACTAACTACAGCATTTGCTACTGCTCGTGTTAGTGAAGGCGTCCCTCGTGTAGCTGCTGTTTTTACTGATGGAAATTCAGATAGTTATTCAGCAACAGTACAAGCTGCTCAAGCTATTCATGATGCTGGAATTCATGTCTATTCATTTGGTATTGGAACTGGTGTCAGTAATGCAGAGTTAGTTGCCATTGCTTCAGATGGTCAACAAGATGTTTTTACTATCAGTGGTTTTACATCTGATGCCTTTCAGGCTGTATTAAAGCAATTACAGTTATCAACATGTTCATGTAAGTCATTTTTAATGATTTAAATTTTTACTAAACTTGTTTATAGCCCCAACAACATCTGAGACCGGAATTGAGATTGCCACTACCCTTCCAAAAGGATCATCTCGTTTGTTACAGTATGAGTTTTCATCAATGGGAATGACACTAAAAATTGATATTACAATTGGAAACTTGGTAATTCGTGGATCATTTAATGTACAAAATCCAAATGCACTCACTGAAGATTTCTCTGTCATGAGTAATGGCAATAACATTGATTATTTCATTAGTCCAGCATTATTTATACAATCAACTTCTGATGATGACAATGATGGTGGAAGTCGCAGAAAGAGACAGACATCAATACTCACTAATACTACTGATGCTAATGTGTACTTGTCTATTGTTGGATTAAATGATAACAATACATTTGTATTGAATACTACTTTTGGTGATACTACAGTGAACATTCCAACAACTGCCTCTACCAGTAAGAGAGTGTATCTAACTGATACCTAACTTGATTCATTATATTTTTCATTATAGGTACCAGTGTTCTGGGCTCAATTGTATTTATGATGATTGCTTTTCTCTGTTTCCTCCTCTGTATATAAATTTGTGGTGCTTGTCTTTGACTTTTTTTGTAGCATAGCGTAGCATTATTAGTTATATATAGGCCTTTTTATTGTTAGATCTATGCTGCATTTGTTTTTTAGAAACAAATGAACATTTTGTTTTCCTTTTTGTAATTATTTTGGCAGCTATACTTTTGCTTTAAAATTTTGTGGTTACATTCTTTAATAATGATGCCAAACAGACGGATGATCAAACGAATGAAAAAATGGTGTTTATATAGATACATTAGTTCAACCTTCAAGTGGGAAAGGCTAACAATTAAATTAAATGATACCATCACTGTAAGACTTATTATCATTGTCCCCATCGAGCTACACATGCTTTGTGTAAGTGTTCGCAAATTTAGCTTTCATGAACAACTCAGTTAAAAAATTAATCTAAAAACATTGAAATTAAATGCCAGGCTATTTTTAAAATTCACATCGGGTAAGCTGCTATTCTTGAACCTTTTCAATTGTTTTCTCTAGTTAACAATAAAAGGTATACATATATAGAGTTTGCTATTTTCAATAATTCATGCCATCATTTATAATCATATACTTCTACTTTTGTTTGAACCTTCCACTAGCATTTGCATGTTTTTACTTCCATATAGCTATTTAGATCTAAGTGCAATATATTACAACAAATACTAAACAGGCCTAGATCTATATACAAAAATAGAGACTCCATCACATCAAAGGAATGGTGAGTCTGCTATCTAATTTACTACATGAATGCAGTTTTACTTTCTGCATGTGCTAGCTGCTTGTGTGATACTGCCTGCCGGGAATTCTATTTAAACTCAGTTCATTCAATTTTATTCCTTAGTTTAGAGTCTCAGCTCATCATCATCATCTCATTTCGTCTCAACTTTCTTTCAATTTAGTTTTCCTCAAAGCTGCATCAAAAAGAGATGCTTTCAACTGCTGCTGCTGCAGTTTTTTTATTGTGCCTCACTGCTCATCAATGCGCAGCTCAAAGTTCAAACTGCGCACCTCTAGCAAATTCTGGTGACTGCAGTTTCTATGATTGTTTGAGTACCAAATTCCAGTGCACTGCTAATGATTATCCTCTTGCTTATGGCAAAAAGTATTGTCTGAAGTATGCCAGCAGATCAAGTTGCTTCACGACAGGAGTAAGTACACAGTTTACACCTCATTTAAGTTATCTATTACTACTACATCAAACTATTTCCAATTGCATACCCTGGGCAGTGCATGCATGGGCACTAGCTTGGTTTTATTCAATTGCTCCCTGTCAGCAATCTTGATTGTCAAATTATGTTATGTGTCACTTTATTTTAGGGCCAAGCATGGATTACTAGTGTCCGTAGATGTTTGATGCAGTCTATTGTTAACAGTGCTCTCTATAGTAATGCAAATACTACTTGTGACCAGTTGAAGACATTTGCATTTGAGAGTCATTCTAATTGTCACACTAGCTACGGGTTCTGTACAAATATTTTTCTATCAAATCAATGTCAGAACCTTGTTTGTATTGGAAATGAAGTATTTACTGATAGAGACTATTGGAGCAAGCAAGCAATAGACCAGGTGAGGGAGTATTAGCTTGAGTCTATTATTATTATTTTTTTATAGATTATAAAGACAACTGCTTCATGCCCTTCCCAGATTTCTACATTCCTTCTTGATGCACAGAGTTGTAATTTGAATAGTCCCAACCATGCTCTTGTATCTGCTATACGTGATTATTTAGGTAGATCTATCTATTATAGTATTTTGTAAATATATTATGGTACTCTTGTACAGATTGCAATTCAAGGGCTTTTGATTTTGTCATCATATTGGATGCATCTGGAAGCGTTGGGTATTATAACTTTGAGACAATGAAAAACTTTGTTGCAAACATGCTGTCTAGCTTTACTATTGAACAAAATGGCACTCGTGTTGGAGTCATTCGTTACGCAAGCAGTCCATCAAATGTCATCCCATTGGGTTCCATTAATACTTATTCACAATTGGCTACTGCTATTAGAGGTATATCATACACTCAAGGAGGCACAAACACTGCTGCAGCATTGAACTTACTAACTACAGCATTTGCTACTGCTCGTGTTAGTGAAGGTATCCCTCGAGTAGCTGCTGTTTTTACTGATGGAAATTCAAATAGTTATTCAGCAACAGTACAAGCTGCTCAAGCTATTCATGATGCTGGGATTCATGTCTATTCCTTTGGTATTGGAAGTGGTATCAGTAATGCTGAATTAGTTGCCATTGCTTCAAATGGTCAACAAGATGTTTTTACTATCAGTGGTTTTTCATCTAATACTTTTCAAGCTGTACTGAAACAATTACAAGTGTCAACATGTTCCAGTAAGTCATTTTTAATAATGTAGATATTAAAAATAATATAATTATACATATATATGATAGCCCCAACAATATCTGAGACTGGGAAAGAGATTGCTGCAACCCTTCCAAAAGGATCATCTCGTTTGTTACAGTATGAGTTTCCATCAATGGGAATGACACTAAAAGTTAATGTTACACAAGGAAATTTGGTGGTCCATGGATCATTTAGTGTACAAAACCCAAATAATTTGACACAAGACTTCTCTGTCATGAGCAATGGCAATGACATTGATCATTTTATTAGCCCAGAATTAATGAGGCAGTCAACTGATAATGGGAATGGTGGTGGAAGTCGTAAGAGGAGACAGACATCACTACCCACTAATGGTACTGATGCTAATGTGTACTTGTCTATTGTTGGATTGAATGATAACAATACATTTGTATTGAATACTACTTTTGGTGATACGGCCAGGAGCCCGAGTGATCCTACTGAAAGCAGTCCAACAACAACTGCCTCTACTGGTAATTGAAGGAATGTATATCAAACTAAATAATACTTGATCTTTATTCATTAGGTACGAGTGTTCTGGGCTCAATGGTACTTATGATGGTTGCTTTGCTCTGTTTCCTCCTCTTTATATAGAATGGGGTGCCTCCTGGCATCTTTGCCTTGTGTGTGTGTGTGTGTGTGATTGACCACTGACTTATTTTAGTGTAGTTATTAGGCTTTTTATTGCTGCTTATAATAGTATAAAACAGTAGAAACTCTTTTTACAGTCAAATATATAATTATTGTTGTAATTTAAGAATTTTTAGAAAACTAGCCAAGTGTCATACAGACAAACAATGAAACTATAGACCTGACGTAAGTGACGTTAGCCCAAAATCCATGACAGTGCATGTTGAAATGATGTTGTTGAGCCTTATCACCAACAATGGATGTAGATATAAGGTAAAACATCACAGTGAATCCTTCTCAGATTCATTATTGTGTTTACAACTTTGATGAACAAACAAAGCAGATTCTTTTTTGAAAGTGAATCACCTTATTGTGTTTTCATTCACTTAAGACATATGCTAGATAACAGTTATTTTTGACATTGTCATTAATACATTAACAATAAATTGTAATACATGCAACTCAGGAAATGTCACTGTGAAATTTGACCTACAAAGCTCATGCCAATGCAATTAAAAACATCCTGTGTTCACACACAAGTTTGTTAACTATTGATAGTTATGAAAATATTTCTAATCTAATATCCGTGCTGAGGTTTGCTCTTCTACTCGAGCTTTTTTACGGCTCTCATTATTAGGTCCTCATGTACTCTTAAAGATGCTTCCCGGCGTCTCTATTTCTGCAGCAGTTCTTACTTTATTGATCTTGACCACTCAATCTACAGCACAAGCTGATAGCTGTTCGTCTCTGGCCAGTGCTGGTAACTGTAGCTTCTATGATTGCTTGAGTACTAAATTCCAGTGCAATTCCAGTGACTATGTCATTGCTTATGGCAAAAACTATTGTCTGAGATATGCGGGCAAGTCAAGTTGCTTCACAACATCAGTAAGTTACATTTTCCCTGTTCTAGTGAACACTGAACAAACTGACCAAGTGCATGTGGGTGGTGATAAACCACAACCCAATTCATTGAATATATATACTGCCTATCATACATTCTTGGCACAAAACTTGCATCAGTCTGATCATGTGACTTCATAAAAATATTAAGTTAAGGCTATGGCTAATCATCACGTGACTAGAACTGCGGGTGGTGGCAAGTTTTCTCGGTGCAAAAGGCTGTACCTAAATAGTTTTACTTTTCTGTGGCCTTATTTTTTAGTTAAAGTAATGTGACTCTGTTTCTTGTTAAAAGTGTTATCTAATAATTACGTAAACAAATGCCCAATTATAATCTATAGTACACATTTTTGTAATATCACTATCACTAAGTCATACATAGCAGCCGTACGACGTCATTCCTTTGATGTGGTTTGGTCTGTTTGTAAGACAAGGTGATCCTGTTATTGACTTATTGTCCCTATTTTTCTATTGATGTACATGCATCTATCATTAGGGCCAGGCATGGATCACTAATGTCCGTAGATGTTTGATGCAGTCTATTGTGAACAGTCCTCTCTATAATGATGAAAGTACTACTACTTGTGATCAGTTGGAGACGCTTGCAATTGAAAGTCATCCTAAATGTTACACTGATAATGGGTTCTGTACAGATATATTCTTATCACCTAACTGTCAGAACCTTAATTGTATTGAAAATGAAGTATTTACTAATAGAAGCCTATGGAGTAAACAGGCTATTGACCAGGTAAATCAAAACTAATTAACAAGTTGGTCTTGATTAGATTTGTTATCTTATCACATAGATTATGAAGACTACTGTGTCATGTCCTTCAAACATTTCTAAGTTCTTGATAGATGCACCAAAGTGCGGTTTGAATGGCCCTGGCCGTGCTCTTGTATCTGCTACATATGATTACTTAAGTATGTTATAATAGACTATTGCTGTGATAATCATGACCTTTTTACTTTTCAGATTGTCATGCAAAGATCTTTGACTTTGTCATTGTACTGGATGCATCAGGAAGCCTTGGCTTTTCTAATTTTCGTAAAATGAGGAACTATGTTGCAAACATGCTCTCTAATGTGACAATTGGACCAATAGTCACTCGTGTTGGAGTCATTAGATATTCTACCACTCCATCAATTGTTATCCCATTGGGTTCTTATGACACTTATTCAGAATTGGCTGCTGCTATTAGGCGCATACCTTACATTGAAGGAGACACGAATACTGCCTCAGCTTTGGATCTGCTACATACAGCATTTGCTACTGCTCGTGTTAGTGAAGGTGTCCCTCGTGTAGCTGCTGTTATTACTGATGGACGATCGGATGATCCTCCAGCAACAGTAGAAGCTGCTCAAGCTGTCCATGATGATGGTATCTATGTTTATTCCTTTGGTATTGGGAATGGTATCAGTCATGATGAGTTGGTCTCTGTTGCTTCAAGTGGTGAAGGGAATGTATTTTACATTAGTAGTTTCTCATCTAGTAACTTTGAAGCGGTTTTGACACAATTACAAGTATCAACATGTGCAAGTAAGTCATTGATTGTTTTTGCTACATTATAGTAATCATTCAATGTGCTTATAAGCATGCTTGATGTTCCCTGTATAAATTTTGGGTTCATTTTTTTAGTTATCAGCATTTTATAAACTATCATCTATTGTATGTTTTCAATTTAATAATTTTTAGCCCCAACATTACTCGAGACTGGAAAGGAGATCGCTGCAACAATACCGAAAGGATCACCTCGCTTGCTAAAATATCCGTTTGTAGTAACTGAAGGAATGACACTGAAAGTTAATATTACACAGGGAGACTTAGTTATTCGTGGATCGTTTACCATTCATAATCCAAATGAACTCACACAAGATTTCTCTGTCATGAGCAATGGCAATGATATTGATTATTTCATTAGTCCAGAATTACTGATGCAGTCGACTAATAATGACAATAATGATGGACATCGTACTAACAGGCAGGCACCAATAGCCACTAATGCTACTGGTGCTAATGTGTACTTGTCTATTGTTGGATTGAATGATAACAATACATTTGTATTGAATACTACTTTTGGTGATACTACTGAGAGCTTTCCTTCTCTTCCACCAACTGAAACAGGTAAAATTTTAATATTTTAAAATCTTTATAAAGTTTTTCTTTAATAGTGAGTTCGATGGCTATAAATGCTCTTGATTCTATGCTACTGGTGATGGCAGTCTTACTCTCTTTCCTTCTCTTTTCATAGATTGTCAGTTACATTTTCCAAACCACAAATTTATCACATTATCATTATTATTGTATTTTTGTGTACGTGTATTTTAATTCTGACTATTTGGTAACAATTCAATGATTGTTAATTGATATTATTTTGATCATAAATCAGGGCGTGGCAAGAAGGCGGAGTCAAATCAGATTCATTTACCTATAGATAGTTGAGTAAAGGAAATGATTTACTCTAATGCCTGTTTTCATATTATCAATCTGTGACTCTCAAATCATTGATGAGCTATATATTGAGTTACTTCATGTACTGTTCTACAAGTAACCGAGTATACTTGTAGTCTGCACTCTAACCTCCTTTCTTTCATGAAATTTTAGTTGCCTGTGAGTTAACTCAGTGCGGATTTTGTTTATCACTTTATCACATGCACGGCACTATTCATCGCCTTCTTTAGCTCCTGGGGACCCTGCATTTCTATCTCTGAATTCTGTTAATTAGTCCGACATGTTGTGAATATCTAAGCATAGTGGTGTGATCCCGCCGGGCTAAGTCTGCAGGACAGCTAGATCCCTTGCAAACAGTAGTGGAAAAAAATGATGTCTCTGAGTTCCAGCTTATTTGTTGTAGCTGTTGCAGCACTGCTGTGCCAGCTAGTTGTTGAATGTAAAGCTCAGGATGACTGCAGAACACTGGCTTATAATGGTGACTGTGACTTTTATGATTGTCTTAGTACCAGATTCCAGTGTACCGGAGCTGATTATCCTATCTCTTATGGCAAACGGTACTGCGAGCGATTTGAAACCCACAAGAGTTGCTTCACAGCAAATGTAGGTAGCTATAAATATAAAACATCTATAAACTTACTATTTTTTATTTTAACAGGGACAAGCATGGATAAATAATGTTCGCTCATGTCTGATGCGTGCTATTATTGACAGTGATTTTTACAATAGTACAAGTATTACTTGTGATCAGCTGCAGACATTTGCATTTGAAAGTCATCCTCAATGTTATGCTAATAATCGATTTTGTGATGATATACTTGTGTCACCAAGCTGTCAAAACCTAGGTTGTCTAGCAACTAAAGTTTTTGTATGGAGGGATTTTTTTAATAGGCTTGCATTTGAACAGGTAATATTAACATGTAGATCTAGCTGTATTTGTCCATAATTGGGCATTTGTGATTAAAAAATTTTGTAAAATATATATATCAGTAAACAAAAATTATGGCTTTAAAATTTTTAATGCAACCCATAGTGTTAGCTAATCTGGCTGTGAAATTTATATGCTGTAAAAATGAAATATGCACATCACTATTAATTGCCTTAGTTTGGTTAAGTATTTTCCCTATTTTCTGCTTGATTTTGCCTAGCAGCATTTGCTGAAGAATGATGCAAATAATAATGAAAATCTATTTGCCTTCCATGCAAGCATAGTAGATCTATGTTGCTAACAAATTTAGCATGGTGGAGGTGGCAGTGTCAGATAAATAGAGTAGTCTTAATGGAAGGGGCTGGCCCCAAGACTAGAGTAGTCTAAAAACTCAGTCAGTGAAACTATTTGATATCTAACTCTACAACTACTATAGGGATTATATGGTATGATTTCAAAGCTAATATTATATGGCTCCAAATTTTTGTCAGTCAAAAATTTTTTTGTCAACTTCATTGGGCATTTTTACTTGACAAATTTTTGACCAATAAAATTTTTGCTTCACATGAGTAGCATGTGAAATTATTAAAAAAATAACAAAAATGTTAATATCGATAAAAATTAATTTTAGCAAGAAATTAAGATTATGAAAAAAAATTTTGACTAAAAAAAAATTGGAGCTATATGGTAAAAATTATGTATTTAACTATCAATTGATGCATTTTTAGGTCTACAAAACAGTTCAGTATTGTAATGCTGCTCAGTTTTTTGCTATTCTACCATCCTGTGCAACAGAGGGTGATACACAAGCTCTGATCGAAGCCATAAGTGATCTTTTAAGTAAAAATATTTACTATAAAAGTACTAACATTAAATGAATTGTATATAGATTGCAATGCAGCTGGATTAGATATGATTTTTGTACTTGATTCTTCTGGAAGCATTGGAAGTGCGAATTTTGCAAGTTTAAAAAACTTTGTAATAAACATGCTGTCTAACTTTACCATTGGACCAGATGACACTCGTGTTGGAGTCATTCGTTACTCTACTTCAGCATCGATTGTTATTCCTTTAGGCAGCTCTGGCACTTTTTCTGAATTGTCAACTCGTGTCAGTAACATCATATATACTGGTGGTAATACATTCACAGATAAGGCTCTCACACTCCTATTATCAGCATTTGACACAACACGTATTGATGAGGGAGTACCTCGTGTTGCTATTGTTTTTACAGATGGAGCGTCAAATAACCGTAATCTAACAAAAGCAGCTGCTAGTGCTGTCCGTAATGCTGGGATACACACATATTCTTTTGGTATCGGTAGTGGCATCAATTCCGCTGAATTAAATTACATTGCCTCGGGGCCAAATTTTGTTTTTTACATATCCAGTTTCTCATATGCTGATTTCCAAACTGTCCTTCAACCACTTCGTACCAGGACATGTTTAAGTAAATTTTAAATCACAATAGATATAACATATATTTTATTGATATTTTTTTATTATCTAGCTACACCTCTTCTAACTATTGGAAATTTGATTGAAGGGACCATTGGACGAAGAGCACTTCGCTACATTACTTATCTCTTTCCTCGTCATTTAGGATTGACCATAAAAATGCTTGTAACACTTGGGGATGTGATTGTCCGTGGATCTTTTAGCGTTCAAAATCCATCAGAGCTAACACAGGATTTTGCTGTCACAAGTGATGGATCTGACATTGACTATTTTGTTAGTCCAGAATTGTTTGAGAACTCAACTACTGTCACTGATGGTAGTCCACAGCGCCGAAAGAGACAAGCACCTACTAACGTTACAATTAGTAATCTTTACCTGACCATAATTGGAGTTGACGACAACAACACGTTTTCTTTAAATACTACCTATGGTGATACTACTGATGGTGTTCCAACTGAAGTTCCAACTGAAGTTCCAACTGAAGTTCCAACTGATGGAGGTAAGTATATATAGCCTATAATAGTATGGGTACTTTGAAATAATTTTCTCTATCATTCAGGTCCAACTGGCTTGGCTTCTGCACTGTTAGTATTTGCTGCATTGCTGTGCTTTTTGCTGCTAAATTAGATACCTTTCTGCTGCTAAATTAGATACCTTCTGCTGTTTTCTACTTGAATTGACAATGCTGCTGATTATGCTAATTTTTTAAAACAATTATTACATAGGTTTAGCAATAGGCACATTTATCCATGCTGTTTTTTTTAAATTCCTGTTGTAACAGATCTCTTAAATTACATTCATAGGGATTTCATTGGGTGTGGTTCATACTTTTATAACCAAATCTAGGTCTTACTGGTCTAGCATTATGCTCGGCTTTCTATCTTGTCTTCTGTTTTTGGTTGGAATCAGCGATTGCTTAGAAGATGACTCCAGTAACAATATTACCTGCCCTAATCCACCAGTAAGTGTTGATTTAAAGAGGAGAGTGAGAAAGGAAATTTACTCTAGTTCGTACTGTCAAGAGTAGTGCCGCTATGATAGTTAGTTTACTTTCATTATAGGCAGATAATGCTACATATCCTCTACAGTTTGGTAGTATGACTGGTAGCTATTACTTTGCTGCTAGGATCAATTCTGACAATGAAGACTTTATCGATTTTAAATTATCAGGTCAAGCAAAAGGATGGGTAGCAGTGGGATTTTCTGCTACCAGAGCAATGGTGAGAGAGAGAAGAGAAGAGAAGGAGAATGAGGAAGAGAGAAATGAAAGCTGGACGATTCTTATGAAAAGTTTCATTTAATCCATTATCAGGCTTGTACGGAGGGTTGTGAAAGGGGAGTCACCAAATTGATGGTGCGCTAAGCACACCACAAAATTTTGGAATTAATTTTGATGCTTTTCTATGCTTAAAAGGACTCATTTTATACTCCAAATGAGGGGTTTGGATGTACCTATGAGCCCCCTCCTTGTGTATGGTCCTGATTATATGGTCATGGACACTCAAAAAATGTATCCATTACAAAAAGCTAATATTTTTAAATTTCGCTTGGAATTTCATTACTATTTCTGACACCCTCTTATAGTTTTAGCACATTTGCATGATTAGTAATTAATATTAATGATTTTGTGTCAAATAAAATTAAAAATATAACATGACACTTATACCATACTCTATTTCTCTCATTATATAGTCTGCAAATGACGTGTTTGGTTGTAAGAAAGACTCAAGTGGTTCCACAGTTTATGCCCTCGATACATGGAATCCAACAAAGCACTATGCTTCCAATGTACTCGATGGCAGTCAAAATGGTGTATGCCAGTACCACACTGAGTACACCAATGGACGGATCAATTGTGTGTAAGCGCCGAGTTAATGCATTATAGTGATTGTAGTATGAACTCAATCAAATGTGTGTTAGTAACGTGTTAAGTACATTTCTTATTACTTTTCTGGTATAATTTGATGCTATTGTTTTTATTATACAACCATTATGTACCCTGCCAAGATACACACACATATACTATGACTTCCTTTACTATTGTACTATTGTATTCTTTTGTGTAGATTCAGTCATTACATTCATGTCATTAATGAAGGCCAGGACTATGACTTGAACCAGTCCCTTTATCGAATATACTCAGCACTCAGTGATAAAGGAGGTAATGAATATTAATATTAAATCCATCAGAATAATAATAGAAATTTTTGAAAATATAGCCGGAAGACGGATATTTTTATATTTTGTTAATCAGTCAAAATTATACATGTAGGTGTCGACCATATAAAATTTTGTATTTCTGTGTAAATATTAATATCACAAATTACGGAACCCATAAAAAATAAACTCTGTATACAGTTATACTCTAGTAGATTTTGCCAATAATACTTGGCTATTAAGCAATATATCTATGTATATAGGGCCACATTTGGAGCATCTTCATAAACACTCTTTCACTCCTAGCATGACATCAAAGAAATCAAATATAATTGATGACATTAATAACAATGGCACTAGTGGAACACCAATCTGGCCTAGGAAAATCCTCCTTAAATGTCATGGTAAGCATTAATTGTACATTTACCGTATAGCGGGTAATTTTGGAGGGGATTAAATTTGGCAAATTTGGGGTTTTGATAGCCATTCGCCAAAATAAAAATCTGCCATTTTGAGCTATTATATGCATGCTCAATGGCACATGGCCACAATTTCGCCAAATTAAAATCTGCCAATCACCAAAATTTAGCAATTCGCCAAAATTTAGCCCCTCCAAATGTACCCGCTATACGATATTTCCCTTACTACCACTTCCTTACTGTGTATAGGTATATTCATGATAACATCGTGGCTATTACTAGCTACATCAGGTATATTCTTTGCTGCCTGGATGAAACCAGTACTGCCTAATGGAGAATGGTTCATAGCTCATCGGATACTAATGATAGTGTCACTCTTTGTTGGTATGCTAGGATTCATGCTACCATTCATTGCTAACGCTCAGTATGTGGTACCAGGATTCCTCTATTTTTCTGTAAGTTGCTATAATCTAGTGATCATGTACATGTACACATTAAAGGCCTCCATACACTAGGCAACATATTGCTTGTAATATTTGTGGTTACTTTGATCCTGAAATAGAACAACCTTCTATTTCTGGCAACATGTTGCTTACAAGATCAAAGTAACCACAAATGTTGCCAGCAACATGTTGCCTAGTGTATGGTATGCGTGGCTTAAGGTCTGGTTTCCATATAGCCATACAAAAGCCTTACAACACTGTTGCAACAATCGTGGAGATAGAAATCAGGTCTATCTCTACAACAATTGTATGCTAACCACAGAATCCATACAACAGCCACAACTACCAGGTATATAGAGAGCAGGCTTAAAACATACACTTAGCAACTTTCTTGTGGTCAGACCTTTGATGTGGTTGGCAGAAAGTGGAGAGAGACTCCAACATGCTGCCTGACCACATCAAATGTACTGGCTAAACCTTCATTTGTTTAACACACATGTACAATATACTAGTATAATGCACACACAAATGAGACATATTTAAGATTATTACATAATGTATAACCAGTGTATGTGTTTTGTAGGGACTTACGGCAGCTCATTTTGTTATTGGAGTTATTGTCATGACTCTCCAAATAGCAAATGTAAGTATAATAGTCCTTGACGACAAATTTCTTGATGTGTTTTTAATGTGTTAACATGCCAAGTTTTGATATTTTAATGTACGTAATTCAGTGACTATTAAAGTACTTAATATTATTATTTTCTTAATAGCCCATTATAGCTCTATGTAGATGCAAGCCTGATAGTAAAAGGTGAGCTGAAACTCATTTATAGAAAATGTGAATATAACTTGCTTACTTATTAAAGGCGTTGGATATTTGTTCTCATTCATGGACACTTGACTGGATACATTGTCTTGCTGTTAGCATGTAAGTACCAGCACATACATGATCTATGGTCTATAGCCAAAAGTTGAAATTTTTATAGTAACTGTAATATTTTTTGATGTACACATGTATATTAATGTTCTTTCAAGTTCCAACAAATAACTTCAAGTTATGAGCAATTAAAAACAAGCCAATTTTTGAAAAATAGCAAAGACTATAGCCCATAGTTTTTTCCAAAAATTAGCTCCAAAATTACCCCAATTTTTGTTACATTTTCTGATACATATTGATGTCCTTATACTGTGTAGAAAGTTTGAGCTGATTCCGACAAATATTTTTGAGTTATGGCCATTTTAAGAAAACGCCAAAATTCTAAAAAATACCCAAGGCTATAGCCCATGGTTTTTTCTAAAAAATGGCTCCAAAATCATCCCAAATTTTATTACATTTTCTGATACATATTGATGTCCTCATGCTGTGTAGAAAGTTTGAGCTGATTCCGACTTAAATTTTTTATGTTATGGCCATTAAAAAAACAAGCCAAATTCAGAAAAGTACCCTGTACTATATAGCCCATGGTTTTTTCCAAAAAATGGTTCCAAAATCACCCCCACTTTTTATTACATTTTTTGATACATATTGTTGTACTTATGCTCTGTGGAAAGTTCTGACAAATATTTTTTTAGTTATGAGCATTTAAAAAAACTAGCAATTTTTGAAAAATAGCAAAGGCTATAGCCCAAGGTTTTTTTCAAAAATTGGCTCCAAAATCACCCTCAAATTTTATTACGTTTTCTAATGCATACTAATGTACTTATGCTATGTAGAAAGTTTGAGCTGTTTTCGACAAATATTTTTCGAGTTATGAGCATTTTTAAAAATAGGCTAAATTTTGAAAAATATCCAAGGCTATAGCCCATGGTTTTTTCAAAAAAATGGCTCCGAAATCACCCCCAATTTTTATGACATTTTTTGATACATATTGGTGTCCGTATACTATGTTGAAAGTTTGAGTTGTTTCCGACAAATAATTTTCAAGTTATAAGCATTTTTTAAATAGGCTAAAAATACCCAAGGCTATAGTCCATGGTTTTTTCAAAAAAATGGCTCCGAAATCACCCCCAATTTTTATTACATTTTTTGATACATATTGATGTCCTTATGCTATGTAGAAAGTTTGAGTTGTTTCCGAAATATATTTTTCGAGTTATAAGCATTTTAAAAATAGGCCAAATTTTGAAAAATACCCAAGGCTATTATAGCCCATGGTTTTTCCCAAAAAATGGCCCCAAAATCGCCCCCAATTTTTATTATACATGTATGTATGACTATATACATTGTATGTATGCATTTATACTATTATACACATACATTATATATGTTATCTGTGTATATGACCAATGTTTTTCCCAAAAGTCGGTTGATTCCCATAAAATAATTTTTGTACCCTATTTATTTATTATGGTAATAAGTACTAGTACATGCATTATTAGTTTCTCTTTGTCTAGTGGTAAACATTGGCATTGGAATATCTCTACTCCTTCAAGGGAACATTGCATTGATAATTTATATCATTCTTGTGATATTGTATCTGATGATTCAAGTTGGAGTCTTTGTTGCAACAACAGCCTTTGCATATCGTTATGGTAATGGAGAAGGTAAGTTTATTACAATAAATATTGCAAAAACTCACACAGTGTTATTAAGTACATGTACATGTATTAATTTGTAAAAAATGTTTAGATTAAATTCTTTTTTATTATTAGATAAAAAGGAGTTGCTGCATAGTCTCTTCAAATATATGTATTATTTTAAGAAGGATCCATTAGACACAGGTTTCCCAATGGAAGCAAAGATCTGTGAAGATCCAGAAGAAGAGAAATTGGTCAAAAGCAACGAAGTCTCTGAGACTGAACTGAAGGTAGGCTTGACTCCTTACTGTATAGCTTCAAATTTTGTAAAAACAAAAATTGTCAAAAATCTTAATTTCTTGTTAAAATTAATTTTTGTTATAATCTATTATAAATCCAGCAATCCGCATACTAACCACATGTAGCAAAAATTTTGTCAAGCAAAAATTCTTGATAAATTTGACAATTTTTGACGAACAAAAATTTGGAGCTACCGTAGGGCGCCTTTTTTTGAGGGCTATAAATTTTGCGGACTTCGCGATTTTTTAAAGATTCGCGAAAATTACTTTCGTGAAAATCAAATTAATACGGTACAAGATGGCAGACGGCATAAATTCATGAAAATTAAATCCGCAAAATAAAAATTCACAAAATTTATAGCCCTCGAAAAAAAGGCACCCTACGGTATATGGTATCTGTTCCTCTCATTTTACTCTTAAGGTGTATTTGCACATACAATATTATGACACTAGGATAGCGTACCATCAATTTTTAATCAAAAGTGTGGCCGATTTGACCTTTTGACGCATGCTTTCCACTAGAATAGAACCAAATCTTATTTCAACGTCAACGTAACGCCAAGCCTATCGTAATATTGTAGATCTGCCTTTACACTGTTAGTATATCAGGTTTAATTTGTTATGTGGCTTTACTGCATTTTTATCAGCCTTTAGTTACTAGTACATTGTGGGATGCAATTTGTTTTATAGTGGGAGAAATTTTAAAAAGTATTTTACTTATTTCTATAACTTTATTATTATAGGCTAAATTTAGATTGTGTGGATGGGGCTCAATCATACTGCAGATGCTGTTCTTATCACTGACTATCACCGTGTTTGTTGCCATCATTGCAGTTTCAAAGTGACCCAATGATATTAACTATTATTACAAACTGTTATTAATTCATTCATTCATTCACAATATCATTCAGTATCATTTAGATCAACAGTATATAGTCTCATTAATAACAACTGTTTTAAAAATGATATACTTATTATAGTAAGTCTTACACAACTTGAGCTGACAATGCAAAATAAAGCAACAAAACAATTAATGTTCCTAAAGCTATAACAACTATAAACTATGTCTGAAAAGTCTTTTTTTTAATTAATTGCAATCAGTATAATCATGACCACTACTGCAATAGCAATAGCAGTCAAATGGACAGCAACTGTTACCCAACTGGTACGAACCAGCGCACTCTAAAAAAATGGGGAAAAAAAAGAATTTTTCCAAGTTGTAGTAAGAGTTTTGATTCTATACCTCAAGAGGTTTCTTCTTTTCTGGTTTCTCAGGCTCTTTCTTTTCACCATCTTTCACTGCGTCCATTTGTATGACTTCATTTTCATCCTTAGCTCCAAAGAGATATTTGTACTTGAGCAGACTGTGAACCAATGAAGGACGATCTATAGAAATACAAGCACAATGCTTATAAATGTAAAAATTAATATTAACAACAAGTACAACATAATAGTACAACATGTATACTATAAGTAAAAGTATATATACTAACAAATATGCAATAGATAAAGTATGGTATAGCAAAAAAAATTTCACAATCCAAAAATTTAGCAGATCCATCCAAAAATTTGTGGCTTTAATTTTCATGGTTTTCTACTTTTCGGCCATCTTGAACCATGTTAATTCAGTTTTTGTGGATTTTATGTTTTGAAATTTGGGCCACGAAAATTTTTCACCGTACAATACATTACATATTAATGATTACCTTTCTCTGGGGCTTTGCGTGCATTGTAAGCATGAATGATGAATAGGAACACTTGGAACAATGTGAGGAGGATAATAAAGACAATGTAGAAGCCAGCCACTTCAAAGCTGCCTCTATCAAGGAGGTGGGCCCCAAGAGCAATATTGATAACTAAAAAAGAGAATGAAATAATAGGATTTCAGAGCTACTTTGATCATACGTGACAAGCAAAGTGATGTGTATCCGATTATGTGAGCATGAGTGAGGTTAAATACCCAACGTCTACAAATAAGGATAAGTATAAAGATGAAATATATGTAATTTTTCAAAGGCTTACTTTTCTCCTTTTGGATGACAACGAAACAGTGCAATGATGGGCTATTAGGATCAAAAATATGAATAAAAAAATAACTATGACAACTACCGTATACCTTAAGCCTACTATTATTTGCATCTACTAATTTTAGCAAAATCAGCAAAAGTCATGTTTAGCGTTACTAATTTTAGCGTTTTTAACCAAATTAACTATAAATAATAACCATTATAATGAATAATAATTATTTTGGCATCTATTTAATTTAGTGGTTTAAAGCTCTCTCGCTAATATAGCTAAATTTAGTAGACAACTAGTATGACAACTACCGTATAGCTTGTAATTATGGAGGGGGAAATTTTGACAAATTATTTGGCGTTTTGACATCCATTTGCTAAAATTAGACCCACTATTTTGAACTATTCATGTGCATGCTTGATGGCACATGGCCACAAAAATGCCAAATTAAAAGGCACTAATCATCAAAAATTTATCGATTACCAGCTATACAATGTACATGTACATGTATGTCAATATGCTTACATTAGCAATGTGAAGGGCCATAATGATAAATCCAATAATAAAATGAGCTGTATTCTTACCCTAAAATAAACACATTTATTTAACACTAAAGATCATTAAACAGACTCACATCAGGTGAGAAGCTGATAAGCCCAGGGGTAGGACTCCTAGCATGTGCAATGAATGGTAGTATGAATCCTAGTAGACCAACAATGAGTGATCCAACCATTAGTATCCGATGAGCTATGAACCATTCTCCATTAGGCAGTACTGGTTTCATCCAGGCAGCAAAGAAGGCACCCGACATAGCTAATACCAGCCATGCAATAGTCATGAAAGTACCTAATATAATAATAGTAATAATTAATAAATAAATAATAAATAATTAAAACAATACAATAATACATGCACATGTACATGTATATACTATCATACCATGTGTTTTCAGTAGTTGTTGTTTAGGCCAAGTATCAACACCTTCAGTCCTTCCTTCTCTAATATCAGTTAGTAAGTTAGTCTGAGCTCTTGAAAATGTTGGAGGGATGTGGTGTTCCTGTAGACCTGATGTGGCTGGACCTATTGACATGTGCTATTATGAATGCATTCATTTAAATGTATAACAAATAGGCCAAAAATATTGTTTAATTTTAGCCTACAAGCTTGTTAACAAGGCTGAACTATTAAGTTTTGGCCAAGTCGTTTCATTGGGGACTATAAAAGCCACTAAATTATTACACTTATATGCACTGACTTATGGCTAAAAAATTGTTACTAAAATACTATTTTTATAGATTCCATTGTCCTTATACTTAGGTCAAAGATTGTGATCATTTTCAAACAAAGCATTATATTCTTTGACTGACCTCTTAAGCTGCTATAAGCACTGTATATACGATAAAGAGTATCATTAAGATCCAGATCTCTTCCATTATCAATAACACCAATATACCGACTGAAACTGTGTGTGTGTGTGTATGGGCAATGACACAATTATGCTTAATGCAATAATAGATTACTGTATAGCGGGAAATTTTGGAGGAAGTTTAATTTGGCATCTTAATAGCTGTTCGCCAAAATAAAATCAGCCATTTTGAGCTATTGTACGCATGCTCAATGGCACGTGGCCACAAATTTGCCAAATTAAAATTCACCAATCACCAAAATTTAGCAATTCACCAAATTTAAGTCCCTCCAAAATTTCCCGCTAAATGTATATGGTATATCTTACGTGCAACTGATTCTTCCATTCCTGTACTGTGTAGTATGCTGACAGATTCCTGATTGACTGGGGTCCAATAGATTGCTATAAGAGCCAGGGTTCCATGTATCAATAACTGACACTGTGTCACTGTTTGAATCTCTTTTACAAGCCAACACATCAGAATCAAACTACACAACAGAGAGATAAGAATTACTAGAAGAAATAAACTGTAGGACAGTAAGGAACTCCCTCCCTTGAAGTATGTACACGTACACAAACAAATAAAGGGCTTCAATAATACTTTGGGCAACAGTGTGTTTTACCTTAGAGTGACTTTTAATTGCTGGTACTAAATTTTGCGATTTTAGCACAAGGTAGATTTTGCTGGTATTAAAAATTGCGATTAAGTAATTATTACTAATAGTTATATGGCATCATGATGTCATTATTAATAATTGCACGTATTAATAATTGCGATTTTAAACCCAAACGCAAAATTCGCAATTAATAGTACCCGCATTTAAAAGTAACCTTAAGGTACATTTGCATGCAAGTATACTGTACATATAACCATGTACATGTAAGTGTATGCAAATAAATAAACTACCATTCTTCTTGTTCTAGTGAATCCAACAGCAATCCATCCATCAGCTTTACCCTCCAACCGCATATCAATGAAACTGCTATTATCACTGAAACGAGCAGCAAAATAATAATCATCTCCAGGATTACCAACACGGAATGGATAAGTAGCATCTGACGGCTATTAATAAAGGAATAAATAAATGAATAAAATGGAGTGAGACATTATTAGGGTATATGGCTGTACATTACTATAACTCACTGGTGCACTAGGACAGACGCTAGTAGGCATCTCTTGGTATGTATCTGTCATTGGATTGTATCGACTAGGACTAATGGAAGGAGTATTGCTGTGTTTAGCAAGGGAAGATGAGACAGTCTGACCTATAATATAATAAAGGTCAGTATATGATGACAGCATTGGTTTTAAATTCTTACTATCAGTCCTATAAGCTGATATTATGTAGTAAGATGAATCAAGATTGTAATCTTGTCCTTGATTCATTATACCAGCATAACGACTGAATCTATAAATAATAGTGATACATGTACATGCAATAATAATATCTTAAATAATAATAGAATGAATTTCAGTGCCCCGTAAAAATGTAGCACAACCATAATTAATCCATTTATGAGGCATACATACTGTACATGTACATGTACATGCCTTAAAGGTATACAAGCATAATCAATGTAACAGTGCAAGTGTGGTTCAATGAAATTTGGCAGTTGATGTTTCATAACAGTACAATACTGATAAACTTACAGACAGGACATCCTCCCATTGGTATAACTGGTAGAGTGAGTACATATACCAGCAGATGAGTTACTGTCAGCTACATTAGGAGTGTATCCATTAGGATTCCATGTATCCAATACAGTAACAGCATTATTCTCTATTTTACATCCCAACACATCATCCATACCCTATACCAATAATAATAATAATAACAATAATAATAATAACAACAACAACAACAATAATGAATACATATTGTATCAGGTTAACTAACCATTGATTGATCAAGAGAGAATCCAACAGCCATCCATCCATCAACAGTTCCCTCCATATATACATCAAGATATTGTGAATTGACTGAATTAGGACCCATTGCCCAATAGAAGCTACAGGACGTCCTATCACAGCCTGAAGGCAGTTTGATTATAATTGGAAAGGCAGAAGAAGGAGACTATTGTAAAAATAATAGTGACATTAATTGAAATGTAATTTTTCATAGTAGCTAACAAATTGGCTAATATATATTATAATTAATTATGCATGCGCACTCAATTAATTCATAGTAATCCACAATGTCAGTTACAACTGACTTGCCGTCCAGATAGAATACTACTGACTGCCGTTACAGTGAAGGCTACTATAAGAAACTTTATAGGTAGGTACAGGTTTAGTTCCTTTGATGTAGCTATACAATGGAACCTTTGTAATAAAAACAACTCAGTGGCTGTGATAATAAAATGTCCCAATTAGTACAAGCCAATACAAAAGTATCTCCACCTCTGTATTAAGGACATGTAGTGTATATAATACAAATGATTATCAAAACAATTTAAAAGCATGTTATTATGTACATGTCAGCACTAAAGTAATTTGATATGTGTTTGATATTATTTTTATGCATACAGATATTGCTGATGCACATATAAGGATTTATGGAACTTACCCTATCAGTCATTGGACATGTCTCAGTGCTACCAGGCTATGGGAAAAATAAATAGTCATAAAAAATAAAACATGAGAAAACAATTTTACTCTGAAATCATCAGCGTTCATGTCTGCATAGTATATACTAGTGCCATCATTCCTTACAACCACAGTATACCTATACATACATTTATAATAATGTGTATATTTATTTAATGTACAAAAGACCTGATTTCAAGCATGCCAGCAGTTGCTGGAGCAGTCCATGTTACAGTGACGCTGCTCTTTAAATTAGAATTTGAATGTGTGACCTGAAATAATTAAAAAATAATGAGTAGCTGTGCAAATTAATCCATACTAACACCTCATGGGCTATTCTTCACACCAATAGGTTACAAGCCATTACATAATCATTACAAGTATCATGAACACCATTACAAGCACTCACAATACTTTTATAACAATTTTACTTATTTCTGCTCACCGTAGCTGATGAAGAAGAACCACAGGTTAGTGTTTTAGTCCCAGAAGGTAAATTAGAAAAACTGCCAATTAAATTTGTGGTGCCAGCCTCCCTGGCTTGAATCATCAACCCTTTGAACTGGCGGCTACCTGCCAAGCGAACTAAGACAAGAAACTGTTATGACAAAGAGACTAGTCATACTCTACACACTTACTAGTGTAGGACTGGCTGGCATTGTAGTCGCCACCATTGTCGATCAGATCAGAGAAAATGTAGAAGCCACCTGGATTTGGCCCACCCGTTGAAGAAGAGTGGCCAGGAACGAGAGAGTTACAAACGCCAGCAGGTGGACCGCTGGAATAAGAATGAGCAAGAAAGAAAGAGAGCTGGAGAAGGAAAGCAAGTACTATGAGAGACATAGTCGTGCTCTTGGGTGTCGTGGGAGAAGCTTGGGTGGCAAAAATACATGTAGGTAAGGTGTGGCTAAATTAAATTAAAAATTGTAATAGATCTAAATAGACCAGAGAACATTGATATAAAATTTAAAACTATAACTTAACTTATATCAAGTTAAATTCATATAAAATAATATCTCGCATCTATAAAAATATTTATGGTCAAAACAATAAATATAAGGAAAGACGAAGGTAATAAAAAATTCATACTAAATTACGGAGGGTGGTAAAAATAATTAATATGAGTATACAAAAATAGCAAAATAAATGCTTAGCTAAATAAAAAAGATAAGTGTAGTGTAAGGATAAGTGTAGTATGGTTAGAAATGCATGCATGCGTGGAGAAGTGTGTTAGTTTCAAAACCTTTAAGCAATTGCAATCAATATGATCATGATCAGTACAGCGACACTGACAGCAACCAAATGACCAATGACTGCTATCCAACTGGTACGGATTAAAGCACTCTGTGTTAAAAGAGAAAGAAAAGAAATGGGTAATAATAATAATAGCATGATGATAAATGATGGAATATTATCACTGGATCATTTGCATACCGGGAGAGGTTTCTTCTTTTCTGGTTTTACAGTGTCCTTCTTTTCTTCCTCTTCCTTCTTCTTATTTTTCATCTCATGCTCTCCACCAGTACTGGCTGCAAACAGATACTTATACTTCAATAGACTGTGAACCAGAGCAGGACGATCTAACAACACACGAATAATAATAACAATAATGATAAATAGACTTCAAATAATACCAGCAAATATACATTACATATTAATGATTACCTTTCTCTGGAGCTTTGCGTGCATTGTAAGCATGAATGATGAACAGGAACACTTGGAACAATGTGAGGAGTATAATGAAGACAATGTAGAAACCAGCCACTTCAAAGCTGCCTCTATCAAGGAGGTGGGCCCCAAGAGCAATATTGATAACTACAATGAGAAAAACGAGACTCAAATTATGATAAAACTATACTACCAACATTATTTGCTAACACTAAAAGTATAGTATATTATTTCATACTTACAGGACAGGACCAGTAGTGCATAGCCAATGATGTGGGCATGAGAGAGGTTAAAGATCCAACGTCTATTAATAATAATAAATGAAATTATTAGTACTAAGCTAATTAAAAGTATACGAAGAATTGAACTCCCAGTCAAAATATGAAGTGCATGCATTCAATGTAATGTAAGAAGTGTCTTACTTTTCTCCTTTTGGATTACAGCGGAAAACAGCAATAATAGGCTATGGACAGTAAATAGTAACAATAAAATTATTATATTAGATGTAATTCTTACATTAGCAATGTGTAAGCACATTATGATGATTCCAATAACAAAATGAGCTGTGTTCTTACCCTAAAATATAACACATTGATTCACGGTAATCATTGCTATAAAGACTCACATCAGATGAGAAGCTAATAATTCCAGGGGTAGGACTCCTAGCATGTGCAATGAATGGTAGTATGAATCCTAGTATACCAACAATGAGTGATCCAGCCATTAGTATCCGATGAACTATGAACCATTCTCCATTAGGCAGTACTGGTTTCATCCAGGCAGCAAAGAAGGCACCCGACATAGCTAATGCCAGCCATGCAATAGTCATGAAAGTACCTAATACAATAATAATAATTAATAAATAAATAATAAATTATTAAAACCGTGCAATACAGTAATAATACATGTACATTGTACGTGTATGTACTATCATACCATGTGTTTTCAGTAGTTGTTGTTTAGGCCAAGTATCAACATCTTCAGTCCTTCCTTCTCTAATATCAGTTAGTAAATTAGTCTGAGCTCTTGAGAATGATGGAGTGATGGTATGTCTAGAAAGTCCTTCTGAAGCCAAACCTACCCATTCATAAAAATAAAACAAACCAATTAGTTGAGTCATAATAATTAAAAAAACACAATTTTAGACATACATGTACTGTAGTATGTACACAAAAACAAACACACATACATACACATACATGCAGACTCTATAGTCAACAACTATTAATAATGAAACAAATCTAAAAAAATTAATTAAACTTTCTATGTAGCATAAGGACAACAATGCGCATAAAAAAAATACTGTTAAAAATGAGGGGTGAATTTGGAGTCAATTTTTGAAAAAATGTATATCACAAAACGTTTTCAAAAATTGGCCTATTTTCTAATGCTCTAAAATTATTTGTTGGAAACAGCTTAAACTTTCTACGTAGCATAAGGGCATTAGTATTTGTCAAAAATTGTAATAAAAATTGGGAGTGATTTTGGGGCCATTTTTTGAAAAAAAAAACCATGGGCTACAGCCTTGGGTATTTTTCAAAATTTGGCCTATTTTAAAAAATGATCATAACTCGAAAATTATTTGTCGGAAACAGTTCAAACTTTCTAAATAGCATAAGGACATCAATATATATCAGAAAATGTAATAAAAATTGGGGGTGATTTCGAAGCCATTTTTTTGAAAAAACCATGGGCTATAGCCTTGGGTATTTTTCAAAATTTAGCCTATTTTTTAAAATGCTTATAACTCAAAAATTATTTGTTGGAAACAACTCAAACTTTCTACATAGCATAAGGACATCAATATATATCAAAAAATTTAATAAAAATTGGGGGTGATTTCGGAGCCATTTTTTTGAAAAAAACCATGGGCTATAGCCTTGGGTAGTTTTCAAAATTTGGCCTATTTTTAAAATGATCATAACTCGAAAATTATTTGTCGGAAACAACTCAAACTTTCTACATAGCATAAGGACATCAATATGTATCAGAAAATGTAATAAAAAATGGGGGTGATTTTGGAGCCATGTTTTGGAAAAAAGCATGGGCATATAGCCTTGGGTATTTTTCAAAATTTGGCCTATTTTTTAAAATGCTTATAACTCAAAAATTATTTGTTGGAAACAACTCAAACTTTCTACATAGCATAAGGACATCAATATATATCAAAAAATTTAATAAAAATTGGGGGTGATTTCGGAACCATTTTTTTGAAAAAACCATGGGCTATAGCCTTGGGTAGTTTTCAAAATTTGGCCTATTTTAAAAATGATCATAACTCGAAAATTATTTGTCTGGAACTGCTCAAACTTTCTAAATAGCATAAGGACATCAATATGCATCAAAAAATTTAATAAAAATTGGGGGTGATTTCGGAACCATTTTTTTGAAAAAACCATGGGCTATAGCCTTGGGTAGTTTTCAAAATTTGGCCTATTTAAAAATGATCATAACTCGAAAATTATTTGTCTGGAACTGCTCAAACTTTCTAAATAGCATAAGGACATCAATATGCATCAGAAAATGTAATAAAAATGGGGGTGATTTCGGAGCCATGTTTTGGAAAAAAGCATGGGCTATAGCCTTGGGTATTTTTCAAAATTCGGCCTACATGTATTTTAAAAAATGCTTATAACTCAAAAATTATTTGTCGGAAACAACTCAAACTTTTTACATAGCATAAGGACATTAATATGTATCAAAAAATTTAATAAAAATTGGGGGTGATTTCAGAGCCATTTTTTTGAAAAAAACCATGGGCTATAATAGCCTTGGGTATCTTTCAAAATTTGGCCTATTTTTAAAAATGATCATAACTCAGAAATTATTTGTCTGAAACTGCTCAAACTTTATAAATAGCATAAGGACATCAATATGCATCAGAAAATGCAATAAAAATTGGGAGTGATTTTGGGACCATTTTTAGAAAAAAAACCATGGGCTATATAGCCTTTGCTTTTTTCAAAATTTGAATCAAATTTTAAAATGCTCATAACTCAGAAACTATCTACATAGCATAAGGGCATTAATATTTGTCAGAAAATGTAATAAAAATTAGGGGTCATTTGGAGAGATGACCCAACCCCACTGGCAACCATGAACTTAATTAACACAGTCATAACTAACCTCCAGTTGGACTATAAGCATTGTATATACGATAAAGAGTAGTATTAAGATCCAGATCCTGACCACTATCAATAATGCCAACATACTTACTGAACCTGCACAAGTTTATAAGAAAGATATAATTTATTTGAAATACAACCTAATGGTCTAATAATAATAATGACTAAAACAGATTGGGATAACAATCAAAAGGCTCGGACACAGTGTGACTGAAAGATGATGATACTAAAATTAGAACCAAATAAATCATGCAAGCCAGTAAATTGAGCACTTTAATTATAATACTAAATACTGTATAAGTGGTGTTTTTTTCGGGGGGGGGGGGAATTATATTTTGCAAAATCTACTAAAATTCGAATTTGCAGATTTTAATTTTGTGAATTCTACCACGTGTGCCATGCGGGTACTGTATTAAATTAGTTTTTGCAGATTTTATTTTCGCAAATCAGGAAAGAATCTGTGAAATTTGTGAAACTTGTAACCCTAAAAAACCCCACTTATATGATATTGCATTAGTCTTACGTGCAACTGATTCTTCCATTGCTATAGTCTGCAGTGTGTCTGCATATTCCTGACTGGCTGGCATCCAAGAGGTTACTGCGAGTGCTTGGGTTCCATGTATCAATGACTGATACTGAGCCATCAGCAGGATCTCTCTTACAACCAACAACATCTGCATTATACTAAACAAATGGAAAATAAATAAATAAATGATACAAAGAAAACACTAAAGTATACATGTATAGGTACATGTACTATACATGCACACAATCAGTGAGACGTGAAACAAAACTATTTATATAAATACTGTATTAGTTCCTGCTAATGACTAGAACAAAAAATACAAATGTATATTTATGTTTATTATACACTGAATTTTGCTGTACATGTACCATATCTCTTGTTGCAGTGAATCCAACAGCAATATATCCATCAGCTTTACCCTCCAACCGCATATCAATGAAACTGCTATTATCAGAATTGAAATTAGCAGCAAAATAATAATCATCTCCAGGACTACCAACACGGAATGGATAAGTAGCATCTGATGGCTATTAATAAATAAATAAATAAATAAATAAATAAAATAAACACAGACATCTACATGTAGTGTGTTTATGTACTATAAGCTATTCAGCTGATTCTAATTATACATATTCAGTTATTAGCATTTAAAAATAAGCAAATTTTAACTAAACTATTGTACAGTATAGCAGGGAATTTGGAGGGAGTTAATTTGGTGAATTGCTAAATTTTGGTGATCAGCGAATTTTAATTTGGCAAAATAGTGGCAACGTGCCATTGAGCATGCGCATAATGGCTCAAAATTGGCATATTTTACTTAGGCGAATGGCTATCAAAACGCCAATTAACCAAATTTAATTCCCTCAAAAATTTCCCACTATACAGTAGCCCTCAGTATTTAGGGCCTCAAAAAAGCTTCTATTAATGCAGTTGTGCCCAAAAGGAATAAATATCAATACTGATACTCACTGGAGCTTGAGGGCAGTCCTCAATTGGAGGTGCTGGTGTGGTTGAGTCTCTCATTGGATTATACTGTACTGAGGAAGGAGTAGGAGTACTACTGTGTTTGTATAGGAAACTGACTACTGGCTGACCTGTAGAACACACAATATTCAATATTTATCGTTAGTCATTGTTTTGTTAATCTTACTATTAGTTCTATAAGCTCTCAATATGTAGTAAGATGAATCAAGATTGTAGTCCTGTCCTTGATTAGTTATACTAACAGTACGACTGAATCTATAACAACAATAAGTAGTATTTCTTAAGCATTATGCATCCCTATACTTACAGGCAGGACATCCTCCCATTGGTATAACTGGTAGAGTGAGTACATATACCAGCAGATGAGTTACTGTCAGCTTGATTAGCATTGTATCCATTAGGATTCCATGTATCCAATACAGTAACATCATTATTCTCTATTTTACACCCCAACACATCATCCATACCCTATACCAATAATAATAATAATAATAATAATAATAATAATGGCGGGTGGTAGCCAGAGGTGCTGTGCCTGTAATGGGACCAGTGCTGTATGTAAGTCCTGTTCTTGCCAGAAGAAAGGATCTAAGTGTTTTTCTTGTCTTCCCAAAAAGAAAGGAACCTGCCACAACCTCGTACAATCTACCACTACTACCTGCTCTCTACCATCTCCTTCCCCACGTGGTGACTGTCCTTCGCCGCCACTACTTTCTCCTGCTGGTGTGCGGGCCCTGTCTTCATCCAGTGCTCATAGAGATGTCCCTGACTTTGACCAGTACATGATGCATGCCTATGGGAATACCATAGGCACGCATCATGGAATACCATAGAATACCATAGAATACCATAGAATACCATATGGTACTTTGTGTTATACTACAGTACCAGACAGTGAGTGGTCCCGCCGCTGGTTGGCCATTACTCACTTGAAAGGAAGATTATACCATGTCCCTGGAGGATCCATCGGTTGGAAATATGTTGATCTACTGTCTGAAGAAGTTGCACATCTTGCTGCTGGAAACTATCCCTCTGAAAGACTGATGATTTTCTCTGCTGTAATATTACAAAGAACCCGTATGGTAAGGAAAGGGACTGATATAAGAGAATTGATGGAGAGAAGGTTGTTGAAATGGACAAATGAAGACTTTGATAGTTTAGTGAACGAAGCTGTTGCGTGTGACAATACTCTCAAGACCCAGACCTATAAAGAGGACACCGATCATTTGGTCACTGTTTTTACAAGACTAATGTTGCAAGGCAAGACTAGAGCAGCTATGCGATGGCTCTCTGAGAAGTCAAAGGGACTTGTACTACCTTCTAGTAAAGTAATTGAAACTAAGACCCGAGATGGTCCCTCGTCTAATATGACAGTTTTAGATACCTTAAAGTTGAAACACCCAGATCCACAATGTCCACCCGAGTCTGCTCTGATTAAGTGTGATACTCTCCCTCCCAGACTAGATCTAATGGTCACTGGTGCACACATTCACTTTGCAGCCTCCCGCATTCAAGGCAGCGCTGGGCCTTCGGGTACCGATGCCGGCCACTGGCACGATGTTCTCCTTCGTTATGGGGCACATAGTGATCGTCTTCGGGATTCCATTGCCATCCTGGTCCGTCGTCTCACAAACAATGTCGTTCCTTGGGATGATATTCGTGCACTGATGTCATGTAGGCTGGTAGCTCTAGATAAGTGTCCCGGTGTTCGTCCCATAGGAATTGGAGAGACTTTAAGAAGAATAATTGGTAAGACTGTCTGTTTTCTAACAAGGTATGATCTCAATGATACATGTAATATTACCCAACTATGCGGAGGAATTAAGTGTGGGATTGAGGCTGCAATACATACTGTGTCTAATTTGTTCAAGGAAAATGAGGATAATGGATGGGGAGTTCTGATGATCGATGCATCGAATGCTTTCAATAGTATTAACCGTCAGGCAGCTCTGTGGAATACCCGTATTCTTTGGCCTAATTGTTCATTGTTCATATTTAATACATACAGGGGTTGGGCACCTCTGGTCGTCAAGGATTCAAAGGAGTTTTTATACAGTAAGGAAGGGGTGACTCAAGGGGACCCACTCTCAATGTTTATATATGCTGTGGCTACAGTCCCATTGATTGATCACATTGGCCATCCCAACACAGGCAGAGATGTATGGTATGCAGATGATGCCTCAGCTTGTGCTTCATTAGATGATCTATTGTCAT